TCCGAACCGGCTGAATACCACCTCTGTGTTTAAACCCCATGTGTGATAGAAAGAACTTCATGCTGACAACTATTCAGCATGTCTCCATTGTAGTTTGCAACGAAGATTCCTATCTAACCATATTATGTCAAGTGACTGATAACTTGGTCCAATCTGAGGTTGGCACAACCATGATTTACACAGTGGTGTGTTTCAAAAAAAAAATTCCTATCAGTTCGGAGCTTGCTTTGGAGCTGGCTGAACTGAAGGAGACGAACATGTTTTTAAATCCCCTTTCTTCCCCCCTATTTCCCCCACAATAGGAACCCTGTGAAATGGGTTAGGTTGAGTGAGAGTATCTGGTCCAAAGTTATCAAACCAGTTGTCATACCTAAGGCAGGTCCAAAACTCACAGCCTCCTGGTGATTGGTCCAACGTTAGCTGGCTTTCACACCTAAGGTGGGACCAGAATTCCCAGTTTCCTGGTGATTGGCCCAAAGTCACTTGGCTGGTTTTCATGCCTAAGGTGGGACTAGAACTCACAGTCCTGGTGATTGGCCCAAATCACCTAGCTGGTTTTCATGCCTAAGGTAGGAGTAGAACTCACAATCTCCTGGTGATTGGCCCTAAGTCACCTAGCTGGCTTTCATGCCTAAAGTGGGATTAGAACTTGCAATCCTCCTGGTCATTGGTCCAAAGTTACCCAGCCACTTTTCATACATAAGGTAGGACTAGAAATCTAGAACTCACAATTTCCCGATTTCTAGCCTGGTGCCTTACCAGTTTATACCAAACTCATCACAAAACCCTGAGATTAGTTAAGAGGGAACACAACCTTGTTCCCCCTGTCCCACACCTGATTGTATAAGGTTCACAAAAATGGGGACCAGTGGTGGGATTAATTTATTTTTTTTACTACCAGTTCTGTAGATGTGGCTTGGTGGGCGTGGCAGGGGAAGGTTACTGTAAAATCTGCCTTCCCTCCCCAACCCACTAACCTGCTTTCCAGCTCCCTTCTCCTGTGCAGGGCAACCAAAGAAGACCCAGCCGATCAGCTGGGACTCAATGGGAGGCAGAGAAGAGATGGGGACGGAGCCAGTCAGAGGTGGGACTTGCGGGTTCTCCAAACTACTCAATATTTCTGCTCCCGGTTCTCCAGAACTGGTCAGAACCTGCAGAATGCCACCTCTGATGGGGACTCCGAAAAGCCAGGAGACAGATCTTTTGGGGTAGGAAAAACTATTTTTTTCAAATGCCAGGTTCAAAAAGAAATGATGTTTCATCCCTTATCTCTTCCTTCTTTCCAAGTAAAAAATGGATTTCAAGAATATTCACTGTAAATTATCTGGGGGCGGGGGAATCTCATTTTCCTTTTACTTTCAGCTGTTATTCAGAAGATAGAGAAAGTTTGTTTCCTGATCTTTTATGTTCCTGCTGATTTTGGCTTTTGGGTTATAAAAACCTTGTGCAATGCCTCATTTCTCTTTCTGATTTTTCCTGGTTATTTCTTTTTTTTTATTGCTTGCCCCGGTTCGAACCTTTGCTGCTGCCAAACATTTAAAGCAGGCTACAGTACTTGCTTTGTATGCAAAGGTCATGGGTTCAATCATTACCTTTTCCAGATAGGACTAGAAGAGGTTTGTGCCAGTCCAACCTTCCCAAATAAGGGTGGGCAGAGATGCGTCAGAAGTGGCAAAATTGATTTATTCATCGCAAGCGCAGTCATGTGGCATATGTTGGAAACATCCTAAATATCATTTTCCCAGGATAATTGCAACATTTGAGGAGGGCAGCCAATTAGGTGTGCACCCACCTGTGCTCCACATCACGTTTTGCTTTTAAATCTCTGTCTTGCATGAGCCCAGACCTCACCAGACGCTGTGGATGGCTCTCAGCCAGAGGGAATTCTGGGAGTCGTAGTTCCGGCTCATCTGGAAATCAGCAGCATGTACCGATAGCCCTCGACTTACAACCACAATTGAGCGCAACGTTTCTGTTGCTAAGCAAAACAGTTATTAGGGGAATTTCCCCTCATTTTACGACCTTCCTTGCAGCAGTTGTTAAGTGAATCACTTCAGTTGTTAGTCACACGGTTGTTAAGTGAATCTGGCTTCCCCGTTGGCTTTGCTCGTTGGAAGGTCGTAAAAGAGGATCACGTGACCCCCAGGTCATAAATATGTGCCAGTCGCCGAGTGTCTGGATTTTGATCACGTGACCCTGGGGGGGGGGATGCTACAATGGTTGTAAGTGTGAAAAGTGGTCGTAAGTCACTTTTTTCCAGTGGCATTTCAGCTTTGAAACAAAACTGTGATAAGACGAGGACTATCTGTATAAGAATGCTGTTGAAAATATTGAGATAGATCAGTGATGGTTAACCTTTTCGTTGTCACATGCCGAAAGTCTGTGCGCACGCACACATGTGTGCCTACACCCATAATGCGTGCGACCTCCCCCGCCCCCTGCGCATGCCCATACGACCTCCCGTGCGCACCGCGTGCCTCTGCGTATGCGTGCGTGACCCCGTGTGCACCGTGCATCTCTGCGCATGTGCACACAACCCCCTTGTGCCATACACCTCTGCGCATGCATGCATGTCTCACGTGCACGCACCACCCTCTGCGCATCCGCGGCAGATACCCAACAATCAGCTGGCTGTCGGGAGGCGCGCGCATGTTCAGTGCATCTGTTCCAGGCAACGGCTCGCGTGCCGGCAGAAATGGCTCTGCATGCCATTTCCGGCACGCATGCCATAGGTTCACCATCATGGAGATAGAACTTCAGTGGTGCGATTCAACCGGTGTAACAACCGGTTTGATGATTGGCAATGAACGACTGAACTCCATTTGAAAAGGAGGAGTATGTTGAATATGTTCACTGATGCTCACTGATCGCGCACAGGCCCACCCTTTAAAAATGCCAATTTTCAGCTATAATACCTTCTATTGCAGTCCCGGTGAGTACATCAGCTGAGGCGCGGTAAAACCGTTCTGCCGCGCGAATCAGCTATGCTCCAAAACAAGGAAATAAAAGCACAGGGAAGAGCCAGGGGAGGATGGGCAGGGCCAAATGATCTCCAGAACAACCGGTTCGGCTGAACCAGTCCGAACCAGTAGAATTCCACCCCCTGATCTTCTTTAATAAGGCAATTTGTTGATTCCTAGATAATTTGAGAGAAACAATTGGCACTCTTGACTGAGGGAATTGTAGTTATCACCTTCTGAAGGGAACTTGTTCATATATGCATATTCATAGGTCAAACACTCTATAAGTTCTCGACGTAGGACTGTTCTATTAATAGTGCTTTGGAGGGTTTTATTTTATATATCTATATCCTGCTTTTATTATTTTTATAAATAACTCCAGGCAGTGAACATATTCAACGCACCTTCCTCCTTTTCAAATGGAGTTCTGTCGTTCATTGCCGATCATCAAATCTATAGCAATCAAGTTACCAAATACGAATAGATTTTTGAATGTAAAGATTGTCAATATATTATTAGCAAGAATATCAAACACAGTGTTACCTTCATGGACGGACAAATGGCAGCGGGTGGGTGGCGAACATATTTAATTTAATAAATAAAATAAATGTTCTGTTCCTAAATCGGTCTTTCTGCTCAATGTTTTCCAGTAGGTTCTGTCTTTGAATTCTGCTCTCCATCATCTAGCATCTAAAAACATTACAAATTTTGTAAATAACATTTGCTGCTTGAGGATAACAGATATCAGATAGTAGTTGGGAATATCCAAACTACTTGTCTGAGTTTTTATTATATGACACAAATTTAAATATGATTTAGTAATCTTGTGCTAAGTGGGGGGAAAACACCACTAGGAAAGATATCTTATTTAAATTTACTTTTTGTCTGTGACTTGTGAAAGTTTAAGTCTAGCATAAAGCACTTTGTAACCAGAAACATCGATCCCATAAAACGTGTACTTCGTTGCAAATACAGTTTGTGCTCTAAAGATTAGAATGGCGCAACATTTTTGGCGAGGAATGTTGATGTGCAGATGTCATGTTCTATGAAAAATGGGAAGGTTCTGTCTTTTTTAAACGCTGTCATGGAACAAATTTGTGAAAACAGTAGACAAGCTTTGCATGTCATATAAGATGATAAAATTGTGCTGATTTCCTGCCTCTTGAATGATAAAATTGTGTTGATTACCTGCATCTTGAATGGCGCGCTTTATGTGTTTATTTTTTTCCCCTTGGCAATTTATGATTCTATACATTCATTAAATGACAATTCAAAGAGTGGTGTGGTGGCTTAGAGATGGAAGTCTTGCCTCACAATCAGGAGGTAGAGGCAGATATTTCTCTCTCTGGGCACAATGAGAATAAATCTGCTGAACCAGACTCCACATTGGCAATAGGAAGGGCATCCGGCCAGTAAATATTCAGCTCCATTCAGTTGCCCAGACTCCATACAGTAAAGAATTATGGGATCATTAAAAGGAAGATGATGATTAAATGACCATTCAAATGTACAGTGGCACTGAAAAAAGCGACTTATGTCCAATTCTCACACTTATGACCATTGCAACCTCCCCATGGTCGATTGATCAAACTTTAGGTGCTTGCCAACTGGCATGTATTTAGGATGATTGCAACATCCCAGGGTTCTGGAATTATTTGCAACCTTCCTAGGGAGCTTCTGGCAAGAAAAAAATCAATAGGAGAAGCCGATTTTGTTTAATTGACCGTTTGATTCACTTAACAACTGTACTAATCCTCTCAACAGCCATGGCAAAAAGGTTGTAAAATGGAACATGCTTCACTTAATAACTGTCTCGCAACGAAAAAAACAAACGAGCTCAGTTGTGGTCATAACCGTATCTCTGTTCATTTACGGTCTGTGGCCTTTGTTTCAAAATCATTTTTCAATAAAATATTTTACTTTAAAAACAATCAGACACCTAGGAAGCATGTGTAGGAAATTTGAAGCTTATGTATTGCTCTGTTATTAAAGCTTTACATTTGTTTTACTCCAGTTTTTTCCTTCGATTTCTCTGCTTAGTTTATTCCCATGCCTGTCCTGTATGGTGTGTTCCTCTACATGGGTGTTGCATCTCTCAATGGAGTCCAGGTAAGTGTCGACCTTCCCAGCCCAGCTCTTTTTCACAGGTGCAGTAGATATTCTGGAGGCCCAAGCTGGAAAAGGGGTCAACGTTAGTCCATACTGTCTGTTTTTCACAATAGGGGTGTCAAACTCAAAGGCCAGGGGTCGGATCCGGCCCACAGGGTGCTTCAATCTGGCCTGCGGGGGTTGCCCTGGAAACATTGAAGGAGCGGCCCACGGTGCCTCGGCCAATGAAAACAGAGCTCGTGAGGGCCGCGTGTGGTCCTCCCAAACTCTTGTTTTCGCCGGCAGAGGGTTTGCAGGAGGCTGTTGCAGGTGAAGACGGAGATCAGGAGTCTGTTTTTGCTGGCAGAGCCCTTGGGCCGCCACAGGCACCCCCGACACGAGTGATGCCATGGCCCCTGGCCACGCCCCTCCAGAGGTCAAACACAACCGTGTTGCGGCCCTCAGTGAAATCGAGTTTGACACCCTAGTTCTACAACCTAGAAATGGCCATTCGTTGTCCACAAAAGCACATTTAACTAGTTGCTAAGTTGCAACACTCATCACACACACACACACACACACACACACACACACAGGGCCCTAAAGAGTGACATCATATGTCCACATGGCTTAGTGGCAACAATCCCAGGAGTCCCTATTGCCATGGTTAAAGCGAATTCCATGCCGTCGTGAAGCGCAACCTCGTATGATTGCTATTTGTGATTTCCCGCTGGCTTCCCCATTGACCTTGCTAGCCAAAAGTCAGCAATTTCCCGGTTTCTAGCCTGCGCTTTAAGGACTCGACCAAACTGGCTTAAAACCATCTCATTCTTCCCACAGTCATAATGATTTAAGATTGGGGGGCTTTGCAACCTAGAGGCATTTAGGATCATTGCATGGTCCTACAGCCATGTGACTGCCATTGGTGCACTTCATAGCTCCCAACTATTCAGAGTCAATGGAGAATCCGGCAATAAAAGCTCAAGGAGCAGTCACTTGCTAATTGCTAATTAACCATGAGGAATTTGCTTAATGACCCTTATGGAAATGAGGCGAATCCATCATGATCATGGGAAATTCTCTCTCTTCCCTTTCCCCATCCATTTACTTCCTCTTCTCTTCTCCTCCTCCCTTCCCCTCCCCTCTTCTCTTCCCCTTCCCCATCTATTTCCTTCCTCTCCTCTTCTCCTTCCCTTTCCCCATCCATTTACTTCCTCTTCTCTTCCCCTCTTCTCCTCTTCCCCTTCCCCATCCCTTTACTTCCCCTCCTCTCCTCTTTCCCTTCCCCACCCATTTATTTCCCCTCCCCTCCTCTCCTCTTTCCCTTCCCCACCCATTTATTTCCTCTCCTCTTCTCTTCCCCTTCCCCATCTATTTCCTTCCTCTCCTCTTCTCCTTCCCTTTCCCCATCCATTTACTTCCTCTCTTCTCCTCTTCCCCTTCCCCACCCATTTACTTCCTCTCCTCTCCTCTTTCCCTCCTCTTCTCTTCCCTTTCTCCATCCATTTACTTCCTCTCCTCTTCCCCATCCCTTTCCCCACCCATTTACTTCCTCTCCTCTTCTTTTCCCCTTCCCCACCCATTTACTTCCTCTCCTCTCCTCTTTCCCTCCTCTTCTCTTCCCCTTCCCCATCCATTTACTTCCTCTCCTCTCCTCTGTTTTGCAATTGTGGGTATTAAGCGATTACTATCTGTATGCCAGTCAGCATACAGAAGCTCAAATCTAGAAATACCCAGCTAAATCTCCTGTGATTATTTGAAGTTTATCAGCACCTTGTTGATTTTTGATCATTTATTATTGATTATCAAGTTTCTGGAGAAAGCATGAAAGGAGTCATATGGTGTTTATACAGGTCCGGGTTTTCCCCCTTGCCTATACCATTGTTACATATTTATTTCCGTGAAGAATATTTTAAAAAACATATTAAGAAGCAAGATAGTCCTGCCCTCTGCAGAAATTGGAATAGATTTTATTGAATGCAAAGTTTGCCCTCTGGAGATGATCAACCTTACCTGTAGCTTTAGATAAGGTTTGCAAGAAACACACCCTGCTCTTTTAGTGAATACCCACAATGTTCCTTGTGAAACAAATGCATGAGAAAGTATAATAAACTATTTAGTGTGGACTTTCTCTCTCAGATCAAGTTCATTTCCTGGTGAATTCAGGGCTACATCTTTGTGGTTTTCTTGACAACACTATAGGAGTGGTTGGTCACATACTTGGCACAATTTTTCACTTGCTGCATTTGAGCAGATCAAACCTGTTTAGTATTTCAAGGTCAAGATCAGCCAGATATATAGACATAGCTGTATATTATATTGTGATACTTGCCTTAATTAATGCAGTGTTTGAATATCCAGAAAGTGGCAAGAGTGTCTAGTAAGTAATAAAACAGAATGAGAATGTTCTAACAAAGATACAGCCAGGTGGATCTTCTGGAAAATGTATGCCATAATTCTGGTTTCTCATCGTGAATATTCTGCTGCATCGGTAAAGTAGGGTCTTCTTAGAAGAAAGAAGAGAACATAATCCATAGATATATTAAAGAACATTGAGACTTTAAACAGTCTGGGAACAGAGTTCTTGAGTTTTTCAGTATGGAATTAGGAGCATGTTCAAAAACTTCATAGCCGTTGTTTTTGCACAGGTTCATGTTTTCCTAAGGAACCCACGAGGTAGAATCACACAACTCTGGTATTAACACAGATATCAATATTAACCAAAAATCAAGCTGTGTAATATCCCTCTCCTCTCCTTTCCGCTCTCCCTCTCCTTCTCCCTCTCCTCTCTCCCTCCCCTCTCCTCCTCTCTCTCTCTCCTCTCTCCCTCTTCTTCTCCCTCTCCTCTCTCCTCTCTCCTTCTCCCTCTCCTCCTCCCTCTCCTCTCTCCCTCCCCTCCTCTCCTCTCTCTCTCCTCTCTCCCTCTTCTTCTCCCTCTCCCTCTCCTCTCTCCTTCTCCCTTTCCTTCTCCCTCTCCTCCTTCCTCTCCTCTCTCCCTCCCCTCCTCTCCTCTCTCTCTCCTCTCTCCCTCTTCTTCTCCCTCTCCCTCTCCTCTCTCCTTCTCCCTCTCCTCTCCTTCTCCCCCCCTCCCCCTCCATTTCCCTCCTCTCCTTGATAACTTGAGGGAGAGATTGTGATAATATATGGAAGGTGAACACTTGACTTCTACCGCTAAAAGTTGTCACTTGCTCTTTCTGCACCGTGATGGCACCTTGGAATGTTCCTTTCTCCACCTCAGTTCATGGATCGTCTGAAGCTGCTCCTGATGCCCCTGAAGCACCAGCCTGACTTTATCTACCTGCGACACGTCCCCCTCCGCCGAGTCCACCTCTTCACCTTCCTTCAAGCATTGTGCTTGGCTCTCCTTTGGGTCTTGAAGTCTACAGTAGCTGCTATCATATTCCCTGTCATGGTAAGTAGAAATTTTCACACCGATATTCTTGTGCATCTTTTGGAACTATCAGATGTTGCGTCTTACCATTATCCTATCCAATATATTGACAGGAACTGGTAATTTTCTTTAAACTTTAGAATCAAAACCCATTAAGGATAATCTGGACAATCTAAGCTTGTTTGAGGCCTAAAATCAGTCTCCAAGATTTTGTTTACAGTGGCCCTCTCTTTTATGGGTTTCGTAAGGGACGCGGTGGCTCAGTGGCTAAGACGCTGAGCTCGTTGATCAGGAAGGTCAGCAGTTCAGTGGTTCAAATCCCTACCGCCGCCTAACGGAGTGAGCTCCCATTACTTGCCCCAGCTTCTGCCAACCTAGCAGTTCGAAAGCACATAAACATGCAAGTAGAAAAATAGGGACCACTTTGGTGGGAAGGTAACAGCATTCCGTGCACCTTTGGCATTTAGTCATGCCGGCCACATGACCACGGAGACGCCTTCGGACAGCGCTGGCTCTTCGGCTTTGTAATGGAGATGAGCACTGCCCCCTAGAGCCGGAAACGACTAGCACGTATGTGCGAGGGGAACCATTACCTTTCCCTTTACTGTCTATTTTCGTTATCTTGAACCTTAATGGCCTTCATACTCTTAACTAAATAAAGTAAATTTCGACATTGTTCTAAATCTTCTAGAATCACAGCTGATCATTTTGCTTTGATAACCACTGTCTTGTGCCCTTCTATGTCTCCTGTTTTCGGCTATGGATGCATTGCCTGTCTGGAGACTAGCCTTCCATTTTCCTAGTCATGTTCTCAGGTGCCTTTTCTCCAAAGTCACAAACTCTTCAAAAAGCTGGGCCCAGAAATCTCTCCCCTAAGCAATTCCTGCTGCGTTTTTCTTTCTTCTCCCTCGGCAAAAGGGAAGCAAAGCTGTGGCTCTTTGGAGGTGAGGTTGAGATGTTTAATAGCAGAGAACAAATCAGCATCGAATAGGGGATTTATAAGGGGTCTTGAACCGGGTGTTGTGGTTTTAAACAGATCGATCTGTCCCCGTACTTGTATTTTTTAGTTAGGGGTCTTGAGGATGTACTCAGGATAATTTCGGAATCAGAACAGAGCTGGAAAGTACCTTGGAGATCTTCTAGTCCAGCCTCTGCTCAAGCTGGAGATCCTATACCATTTCAGATAAGTGGCTGTCCAGTCTCTTCTTAAAAACCTCCATGGATGGAGCACCCACAACTTCTTGCAGCAGGCAGTTCCACTGGTGAATTGTCCTCACTGTGAGGAAGTTTCCTCTTAATTCCAGGTTGCTTCTCTCCTTGATTACTTTCCATCCACTGTTTCTTGTCCTGCCCTCCGGTGCTTCGGAAAATAAATTGACCGCTTCTTCTTTGTGGTAGTCTCTCAAATACTGGAATACTGCTACCATATCCCCTCCCCCTACTTTTCTGTAAACTAGCCAAGCCCAAATCCTACAACCGTTCTTCATCTGTTTTAGTCTCAAGGCCTTTAATTATCCTAGTTGCTCTTCTTTACACTTTTTTTCCCCCCAAGGTCTCAACATCTTTTCTGTAATGTGGTGACCAAAACTGGACACATTATTGCAGGTGTGGCCTTACCCAGGCTTTATAAAGCAGTACTATAGCTTCGATTCTATGCCTCTGTTTATACAACCAAAGGATTGTATTGGCTTTTTTGGCTGCTGCCACACGCAGCTGGCTCATATTCGAGTGATCGTCCACTAAGGACTCCAAGGTCTTTCTCACAGTTGCTATTTTTTCTCAGACAGGTAGTCCGTAACCTACAATCCTAATTGGGACAGAATTTTATTGAGGGTTTTGCAGCGTTAATTCAGCGCCAGAAAAATAAACACAGATGGCTGATGGCTTCATTTAACATCTTTATAAACATAAGCAGATTTTACAAACCAGTTGTAGATGTCTCCAACCTGGGGCAAACTCAAACGGAAACATGTTGCAAGTTCAGAGCAGAGCTTCAGTCTTCAACAAGCAAGCAAGTTAGTGTCATCTTCAATAGACAAGACTCAGAGCTTCAACATAGCTGCAGAGTTGCAGAGCTTAATATAGCTTCACACCTAGGCTACTTCTAGTTTCAGTTTCCAAACTGTTCTCATTGGCTGATTTAGTTGCTATGCCTATTAATTGGCTGACCTTGTTATCAAGCTCTATTCCAGTTCATGAATATACTCTGACAAATTTTTATTCCTAAATAAGGGGTTTTTTAAGTGAATCACAATCGAGTTTATGACCTTTTTTGCCACAGTTATTAAGTAAACACATGCTAGATCAGGTGTGGCAAATAAAGTACAGGTAGCCTTCGACGTACGACCATAATTGAGCCCAAAATTAATGCCGTTAAGTGAGAATTTTGTTAAATGAGTTTCCCCCACTCCATTTTTATGTCCTTTCTTGACAGTTAAGTGAATCACCGCAGTTTTTAAGTTAATAACATGGTTGTTAAGTGAACCTGGCTTCCCCGTTGACTTTGCTTGTCAGGAGGTCACGAAAGGAGATCACATGACCCCAGGACACTGCAACTGTCATAAGTATGAGTCAGTTGCCAAGGGTCTGAATTTTGATCACACGACCAACAGTCGTAAGTGTGAAAAACAGTCATGAGTTACTGTAACTTTGGGCAATCGCTGACTGAACTGTTGTAAGTTGAGGACTACCTGTAGAAGCTTAGACGATTGAAGTTGAAAATACCTCCATGTCAATGAGGGAATGTTGAATTTTGTCTTGACAGATCCTCGCCCTCGTGGCGGTCAGGAAGGGGATGGATTATTTCTTCTCCCAGCATGACCTCAGTTTCCTTGACGACGTCATTCCAGAAAAAGACAAGAAGAAGAAAGAAGATGAAAAGAAGAAGAAGAAAAAGAAGGGCAGCCTAGACAGCGACAACGATGACGTAAGCATGCCTGCTCTTTTAAAATAAAAGGGGACAACTTTACCTTGACTAGTTTGTAAGAGCCGAGAAGGACCAGGACTGCGGGAAGCTGTGGAGATTCTCCGTCATCCGTCCCAAAGGGGCTTTTTTTTTTTTTTTTCAAAAGACAACTGAACAACTTCTTGTTCGTTCTTTTGAAGACGTTTCTCTTCTCATCCAAGAAGCTTCTTCAGCTGTGACTGGATGATAGGGAATGGAAGGATTTATATTCCTTGCAGACAGCTGGTCATTTGCATCCTTTTAGAGGGTCGTTGAGGCCACTTGGAGATTTATCTGTGTCCTTGGGGTCACCTGAGTAGTGCAAATGGTTCTTGTCGTCTGCAATTTTTTTTTTTTCCTTTTGGAAATCTCTTCCTACTCCCACACCATTCAAAGGCTGTTCATCCCAAATTGTATAGCTAAAAGTCTGTGGAGATTCTCAGTCATCCAGGTCATGGTTGTTGCAAAGGTGCTTTTTCAGGAGGCAACTGGACTTTCTTGTTTTTTCCTTGAAGACATTTCGCTTCTCATCCAAGAAGCTTCCTCACCTCTGACTGGATGGTGGGGAATGGAAGGATTTATATTCCTTGCAGACAGCTGGTCATTGGCATCCTTTTAGAGGGTCGTTGAGGCCACTTGGAGGTTTATCTGTGTCCTCAGGGTCACCTGAGCAATGCTCCTGGTTCCTGTAGCCTGCAATTTTTGCCTCTGGAAATCCCTTCCTACTCCCCCACTATTCAAAAGGGTGTTCATCCCAAATTGCATTGCTAAAAGTCTGTGGAGATTCTCAGTCATATGGTTGTTCCCAACGGTGCTTTTTCAAGAGGCATCTGAACTTTCTTGTTTTCCTTTTGAAGATATTTTGCTTCTCATCCAAGGAGCTTCTTCAGCTCTAATAGGATGGTGGGGGAATTGGAAGGATTTATATTCCTTGCAGACAGTTGGCCATTTGCATCCTTTTAGAGCAGGGGTGTCAAACTCAAGGCTCGCGGGCCAGATCCGCCCCATGTGGTGCTTAGAGCTGGACCATGGAGCCAGCCTGGAAACAGTGAAGGACCAGCCCGTGGTGCCTCTGGGCCAGTGAAAATGAAGCTAGATGTACTCAGTGTGTCTTGGGGAAATGCAAAACCCCACACTCCCCTCAGCCTTACCAAAACCGACAACAGGAAAGTCTCACTGAGCAACATAAATTTGGGCCTCCATTAATGGCCGTAAGTCGAGAACTACCTGAGTAGGAAATGCTAAAATTTCCGACGTGGAGAAGGGATCCTTTATTGGTCCTTAACTCTGGTCTGAAGCAAGGAAATGAAAATAAATGATGCGAAATAAGATCGTGAACAATTGAACTGTTTTCTTTGTAGTCTGACTGTCCCTTCACGGAAAACGTGCCCAGTATTAAAATCCCGATGGACATCATGGAACAGCAACCTTTCTTGAATGATGGGAAGCCTACTGAGAGTGAGTAGCACTGATTTCTTGCATGACTTCCTTTACCAAACTGAACAGGAGATGGATAGACATCCTTATATGTCTGCATGGCCATAAAATATCCATGTATATTTTTGTTTGTTTGTTTTTTTAAAAAATCTTGTTTTGTAGAGGTTGTTTTCCTCCTCTTTCTTTCTTTCTTTCTTTCTTTCTTTCTTTCTTTCTTTCTTTCTTTCTTTCTTTCTTTCTCTTTCTTTCTTTCTTTCTTTCTTTCTTTCTTTCTTTCTTTCTTTCTTTCTTTCTTTCTTTCTTTCTTTCTTTCTTTCTTTCTTTCTTTCTTTCTTTCTTTCTTTC